CATACATCTCGGAATCATTTAATTTTTTTCTGTTTCCTATGTAAAACCAATCAAGGAATCCAAATCCGAAGTTATTTTGGCCTAAATCGGTTTAAATCGCCCTAGATCTAAGTTTTTCTCCGACGGTTCTCGGTGATTTTCCGGCGATGTTTCACCGTTTCCGGCGACGACACTACCCAGAAAAGATTCAACTCGTCAAGTGCTTTCAAACCCTTCAAGTCTCAACCCAAACCGAGCTTCCGTTCGCCGGAAATCGGAAAAACTCCATGGCGGTAAAGGAGAAGGAAAACGATGAAGAAAAACTAAGAAAAGATGGAGAAACGGACCGACGGTGATGAAGCGGTGGCCACGGGGCGGTGATCGATGGTCGACGGCGAGCAAGGAGGCAAATCGGAGTGGAAGATAGGCAACAATGGTATTAGGGTCGGCCATGGGAGGAGGAAAAAGAAGAAGAAGAAGAAACCCTAGCAAAAATTGCAGTCCAATCCCATATTTTCTGAAATTTTCGAATTCTGCCCAAACTTTTATTTCGTTCTAAAAGACCCTAACTGAAATAACAGATTTTTCCAGAACTTTTAATTTTATCACCTTACCCCAATTCATTCATTTTTTTTAAATTTCCGTTCGTTATAGTAACCTCAAGTATTTTGAGTTGAGTCGTTAAATCTCTCATTTGCATGACATGTTCACGCACTCTTTTGGTACTGGTGAGCCTCAAAGTGAAAAACTTCATAATCAAGATGCTCGTCAATGCTTTATCTAAATACTCAAATTGTTCATCAATAGCCTTCAGTACGGACATTGGCATACTACTCGATCAAACCCCGAATACCAGATGATATGTTTGTCTTTATGAACATAATGCTGAGGCGATTAGATCGTTTTCACCTTTCATATAATTCAATCTCCTTAGACTCACTCTCCTCAGTAATCAGATGTGGTTCGTCTTTCTGAATAACATAGTCAATGTCCATCCACCCTAAATGAAGTAGGATTCTCTCCTTCCACACCTTATAGTTATCCCTCTGAGCTCAAGAATATCGCATTTCATGTCAAAGACATTCACAGATTGAAAAACTGCACAAAATATATCAATATACATGCTTATATTAATAAAATTAAGGCAACTACATGTGATGTTTTACCAATGTAAAAACATCAACAATATGAATCGTATGACTTAAAAACTACATGTGGGCTAAGTTTCTAATTCAAATAGATTAATATTTTTATTAAACTTAATGATGAAACCATCAGTTTACATTTATTTCACAATCTTTGTGGGTAAATTAAGAAATATAATCGACTTTTCACCCTAATTAATTATATAAATATAATAAAATTTTCTATAGGATAAATTTTATTATATCAATGCGATTAATTACAATCAATATCATTTACTAATGTGTTCCAATAACAAATTTATATATAATTTTATTCTAATCAGAAATGCTGTGGCAATTCTCTAATTTGAATAAATTATACGGATCACAAGACATACCTTCAATAAAGACAAAATAATATCAAAAAATAAGCTTAGCCTAGTGGCTGTGTCTTCTCATGCATAATGCAAGGTTATAAGACCTTTTCTTATTATTCAAGTACGATATGAATATATAAAAATATAACATGATATATAAATACTGCTTTAGCCTAGTGGATGTGTAACTTATGAAAGCCATGACCAGTGGCGGATCCAGAAAAAAAATGTTAGTGGGGGCAATAGATGACCGTTTCGATATTCGGTTTAGAAATAGATCGGTTTGAATCTTTCGGTTTTAGAAAAATATATATCAATCGGTTATAATATTATATTCAGTTCGATTTGGTTTCGGTTTTTATTAAAAAATGTATGTGATGTTTTATTAAAAAAATTATTTTTCAGGTTTTTTAAAAATTCGGTTCATATCAATAAATTTGGTTTTCTAAAAATAATACCGTTCGGATTAAATAAAATATCGTATTGTTCAGTTTTGTACGGTTCGATTATAAAATCGTACCAAAACATTTACTCTAAAATATTATATAAACAATAGATAAAAAATTAATAAAATATACTGTCGAAATAATATTTATATTTTACTACTAAATTCTATGATTTTTTTTTTTAAAAAATTTATCTATAATAATTTTATTTATAATTGTCTAAAATATATAATTTCCGATAAAACAAACTAAATAAAAATTGTAACTTTGATGTTTTTAATTTAATTTTATTTATTTTTTGTATTGTGTTTAATATTAAATTTGTAATTTTTTTTAGAAAATTGAGAGAGAAAAGCAAAAAAAATATGGAAATAAAGATTAAGAAAAAAGCGTAACAAGATCTAATATTTAGAAAGAAAAAAAATTAAAATAATAAAAAAAGAACGAGAGGAGAGGGGGCAAAACAAAAAATTAAATGGGGGCCTTTGATATTTTTTATCAAAATTTTATAACTATTACAAATAAATAAAAAAATTTAGCAAAATATATGGGGCATAGGACCCACACCAATACATGTGGAGGTTCATAACCGACATCCATCACCGAGGTTGTCTTCAGAAATATCGTCCCAGAGCTAATGGGGGAATAGAGGATCACGACGGTTTCAGATTCAATGCGTCTACCAAATCCACGGTGCCGACCAAACTCTAATCCGAAAGAGTATGTATCAACAACTCATCGATTCGTCCATAGTGAAAAGAAAGCCAAACGACAAAGAAGATAACACAGAAGAGAAGAAACATAATGAATAAAGCCAAAATATGACAACAGATCTTAGCATGAATTACAAACAACAAAGTATTTCTGTTTTTTATTTTCTTAATGGGTCATTTTTATGGAAGTTTAAAATTTATTGTCGAAATCAAATGCATTAAGACATTATTTAATCTATCACATTTTATGAACAACATAATTTTCAAAGTAGAGATAACAAAGCTCTCATACCAAATGAAAGTTTTTTTGGTTTAAACTAATCTAAACCATGATCTTCAATATAAAACACATTAACATATAAAATTATGAATGCGGAAATAAAATTCTGAATAAAAAAATGTACTTCCAGCCATTGAATACCCTTGGGTTGAAATCTGAATTTTTCTGCAATAAAAAATGATGGTGTGTTTGTTCGGTTTGTTATTTAGTCTAGATACCCAGATTTATGTCTTTTAATAGTTTTTTATGTTTTTTCCGATCTCTGTTTTTTCCATCAGAAAAAAACTGATATTTGATCGTTAACATTGAGTAAATATTGGACCACTAATCAACGCCAGAGTTTTCCAATATGAGCAATTATAGAAAAACTTTCAACAGTATAAGGTTCACCGTCTTCGTGATCTTGTCATCCAAATCTACAGGTTTGCCTTCTCCTTAGCTTATAACAAGACAGCATTGCTTGCTGGAAAAGAAAACACCATATGTATGCTTATTAGGTTTTACAGTTTTAACGTTTTTGGATTCAGAGACCAACGTGAGAATGGAGAGAGGGCCACACACACAATCCCAAATTATATCCACATATGTATGAATTTGGTGAGTACTTAATTATCGAATTCAGATTCGATTGATTGACTCCCCCTTTGCCTCCGCTTGAATGAATATCAATAACCGGTTTAGTTTGGTTTGGCCAAACCGAACACCAATCTCTGATTCTCCGCGGTTTCGGTACAAATTTCCCCTTGCATTCAGTTCAGCTAAGATACCAGCTACTAATCAGGCATACGGATACGGTTGGTAGAAACGGTCTTTAACCGGCTGATATACCACTTGTAATTAAGATGGGAACCGGCCCGGTTTAGGATAATTAACTGGTTGAACCGACCACATGGGCAATTCCAGAGGAGCAGGAATTGTCAGAGCTTCCATGTTGTATCTGTCTGGTGTTGTAAGAACCGCAGCTTCTGCATTTGTGAGCTATAACGTGAAAATGAACGTGCGAATTCGAACCACAGTCATTGCACAGAATCCAAACCTGAAACCACATCATCACAAATAAGAAATCCAAATCAAAACTCTGTATACATATGCATGCATATGCAGATGGATGTATCTGTTTCGGGTTATGTATATGTTTATGTGGGCCAAAACATACCGAGAACGTACGAGTCGGGCTTTGTTTGCAACTTACCATCTTATTTTGGTGCAATTTCGGCATTGGGTATGCGGCAATCTGCAATGCAAATTCGAGATCGGGTTTATGAACATGAGAGAATGATTCAGATCAACCCTAACTCCATGCAGAACATGTGTAAACCTTACCTCTTCATCGAGCTTCTTCCATGGACGGGACATATCGCAAATGGACTTGGAACATACAGGGCATGTGTATCTAACACAATCATGATCAAGAAATCGGAGAATCTCGTTAAAGAACTCGTCTTTTTTCATTCAGCGGTTC